CCCGCGGTGGACTGCGTGGGGGTCCAGTGCCACAGCCATTACGCTAACTGCTGGTTCCCTGCTTTTTTTTTTTTTTGTTAAGAGATTATTGCATGTGCTTGCTAGAGACAGATACAGAAAGAGGAAAAGTGAGAAAGCAGCCCTCAGGAGGGATGGTCATGCCACAATCCCTTCTAGGGATTTGGGGCACATGGACATCTGGTGGTTTTTGGACCACCAGATCTGGACCACCAGGTCCGGGCTGGGACTCAAACTGTGGTGTCAGTCACGTGGGATCCAGCACTTTAACCACCATGCCACCTGTTGGCTCCATGCCCTCGAGTATTTTAAAAAAGAAAGTCTGTAATACATCATTTGAAATTCTTGGGAACCAGCAGTTAGCGTAATAGCTATGTCGCTGGACTCCCACGTAGTCGACCACGGTTCATGTCCCGGACCCGGTGGCTTAAAACTCACGCCGGGCATGTGTGCGTGCGTGCCCAAGATCCCGAGAGGAGAATGGAGGAGAAGGGATTGCGGCGTGACCATCCCCCCTGGGGGGTGATTTCTCGCTTTCTGTCTCTATGTCTCTCTCTGTCTGTCTGGCGAGCGCACGCGCCAGTGGAAAAAAAAAATGAAAGAAATTCTGTATTTCCTGTTGGAGTAGGAGTGCAGTGCAGAGATGGCAAAGGACACTGGCCACACTGTGTCTTATTTCCACAGGGCAAGCAGCTGGAGTTGACAGTAGCATACACGCTCACATACCGCCCAGCCTGGAAACCCTTATCTGAGAACTGACCCAGTACTTGCCAGACCTTCATGGACACCTGAGCTTGAGGCTTGCAAACTAAGTTCCATAACAAATAGAAATTATACAGCTGTTTTTCGGTATCCATGGAGATGGGTTCCTGGACTCACTGGGGACACCAAAACTGTGGACATTCAAATCTCTTACACAAAATGGTGCATAATTTGCATATAACCTGCACACAGCCTCTTGTGTATTTTAAATCATTTCTAGGCTATTTAAAAACACTTAATGTTAACAGTTGTTACATATTTTAAACTTGTATTAATTTTTTAAAATAATTTTTTTAACTTTATTTACTTATTTTGATAAGAGAGGGAGAGAGCATACACATGAGTGAGAGAGAGAAAGCAAGGTACCAGGTCTGGGACTCGAATTGCAGTCAGCCATGTAGGAATCCAGCGCCCCCAACCACACCACCTGCCAGTCCTAACTTGTGTAATTTTTTACTGTTACACTTTCTAATTATTGTCTCCCCCTGAATATTTCTGATCCATGGCGGGTTGATCCATGGGTGCGGAAGCTGCAGGTGCACAGGAACACCCGCAGACACCAGCAAGGGGCACATACTGGGAGCGGGGAAGGCGTGAACTCAACTGCCTGTCTAGAGGACTGACAGGCCATCTTAAACAGCACTCTGGCCAGTGGCCTTTCCCGTGACAGGTGCTGCACAGCTGCTGTTCCAGGACTGGGAGCCCATCAACCTGTGACAGAGCTCAAGAAAGTGGCTCCAGTTCCCTTTGGAGAAAAGGGAACTCGTTTTGCTGTTCCCCCAGGGAAGGGATCAGGGGCTCCAGACTCACCACAAAAGTGTCGTAAGAAAACTGGTGCCGACGCTGGATATGCTCTATGAAGTTTGCACTGCGGTAGTTGGGGTCTCCCCAGGGCATCGAGGCACATATTGGACAAACCTTTCAACAGAGAAGTGAGGTCTTAGGCATCAGATCTCTAAAGTGACAGCAAGCCCTCCCTGGTCTGTGTCTGGATGCTTTTCTTCCAGAATAGCAGTCCTCACACACCGCCCAGGCCTGGTGATCTATCCTTTGCACACTGACATCCCAGAAAACACTGCAAGATGCCTTCTCTAATCAAATGGCACACAGCAGTGTGTAAGGCTCAGGGCAGAGTCTGGCCCTCTCTAAGTCCCTGCGGGAGCCCAGCAGGAGCCCGGGATACAGCTTTTTGACCCAGTACATGATATAACCCACAAGCACATGAAAAACCTACGAAATAATCAGATGAGCAATGTGCAAGGAGCTAAATAGAGTCTATTTTGACAAAATAAATGCTAAGATGGGGGTGAAGAAGCCTTCATGCATACGGTTGATTAGGGCTTTAAAGATGGGGAGGTGTGTGTGAAAGGCAAATAGAACACGAACAAGGGTGTGCCGGAAGGAAGTTGTAGCTTGAAGAGAAGGCCAGTAAGAAAAGGCCAGGAGGATTGGGACCAGCAGATGGCGTGATGGCTACGTCGCTGGACTCCCATGTAGTCCACTGCATTTCAAGTCCGGGACCCAGTGGCTTAAACTCACACCTGGCACATGTGCGTGCGTGCCCAAGATCCCGAGAGGAGAATGGAGAAGGGATTACAGCATGACCATGCCCCCGGGAGGTGATTTCTCACTTTCTCTCTGTCTCTGTCTTTCTGGCAGGTGGCCAATCTGCTAGAATGGACCATTGACACAGGGGAAGAAGAGGGCACAAGTGCTCCTGCTCGGGGAAGGACCCTGTGCTCCAGCAAGGCAGGCACAGTAAAAGAGTGGCAAGAGATCAACCTGGGGGTGGTGGGGAGCAGGTCACAGCGTGGAGAAGGTAGCTGAATTCCCATGTGGCTGACAGGCGAACTGAGTCCTGCACCTAGAAGCTTGAGAAACATGCCAGGTGCCTGTGTGTGCACGCCCAGAACCCTGAAAAAAGGGAGATGGAGGAGAGGGGATTGTAGCCATGGCCTGCCCCATGGAGGTTGGGCGGGAAACTCCTGAGCACACTGCAAATTTGAAAAGAGAGAGAGAAATCTGGGGTGTCAGAAGACTCTCTGGGCGGTGGAGGCAGGCAGGCAACTATACTGTGTGTCAGGATGAGAGCCTGAGAAGGATATGGGGTCCACAGGGAAAGGCTGAGACACTGAGCGCTGAGGAGATGGAGGGGCACGAGCTAGAACAGAGCACCAAGAGGAAGAGAAGGTCCTGACAAAAACAAGATAACCCAAAGGATTCCAGGCAGCCGAAGGAAGGAGAAAAAGTGGGGTGGGGGAAAAAGAGGGAGGAAACCTAGACTGCAGTACCAGAAACCAATAGCACTGTCAACCAAAATGGTAACTGGAGGTAATCTCTGACCAAATTCATCCATATCTAAGGCTTTATCTTATACACAAACATGGGCAGAGCCATGCTTCCCAAACAGTCCAGTTCTATCTTAAGGTTTATGGTAGAGAGATAAGAACGCTGGCAGGCCTACTGAGTAACACTGACAGCTACCCCGGTGCCCTCACAAAAAGCACATGCATATTCTAAAGTCTGTGCACCACCTTTTAGAGCGATGCAGGCAAAGACCACCCACACAAAGGGGCAGACAGTTCAAGAGAAGCAGAGTGACATAAATGGCAAACACTGTCAAGAACTAACGAGGAAGCACATACCTAACTAACTACACAGGAAGACCCAGCCCATCGCTCACATACATCAAGAGGGGAAGGTAACAGGCTGAGGTGTGTTTTAACTTTTTTTTTTTTTTAAGAATTATTTCATGTAACTTATTTATTTATTTTAATCTGACCAGAGAGGGACAGAATCTGAGTAAGAGCAAGAGAAAGCAAGCCACTAGGTCCAGGACCTGAACAGTGGTCGTCCATGTGAGAGTCCAGTGCCCTTAACCACCACACCACCTGCCAGCCCCATGTTTTAATTTTTCTTAATTCACGACGGTACATGTGTATATAGGAAGGTGGGGGCAGAGCAAGGAATACCCCCAAAAGGGCCAGGTGACGCTATGATCCCCTTCCCCAAGGCCTACGGTTTGTCAGGCTCCTGGACACAGCCATGCATACCCAGCTGCTGTAGGCTGACAGGCCAGGGATCCACACTGCAGCCAGCTAGATGGCTTCCAGCACCACAGTGGGGCACACTGTGATTGTGCCAAGAAGCTGGGCCTATTTGGGTTTTAAAAAGACTAACGGGCCAGCTTGGTGGCACAGAAGTACCGTGCGGCACTCAAGCGATGCTGGGTCACATGGAAGATCACGGCTCTGGTTCCCTGGACACCTGTCCACGTCAGGTGTGTGCACTCATGACCCCGTTGGCCGGGAAGGCTGAGAGTGGAAGGCACTGCAGCCTGAGCCCCTGCTGAGGGTGCCTATAACATCCTCACTCCCATCTCACTCTCATCAAATAAACTTAAATAATTACTACCTGCCAGTCTGTGATATTTTAATAAAATGCCAAAGGACTGGTAAGTCCTGTCCTAACAATTTCACCTAAAACCTGCTCTCTCCACCTATGACGAGGCTATTCTCAAAAGGAAAATAGCAGCATTGTGAGGAGGAGCTTGGTGGACTCCAAAGGACACAAGTTACTGTTTCCAGAATGGGGCCAGCAGACACCACAGGGGCTGTGATGAGGAGCCCAGAGGCACAGCTGGGGAGGGCACTGCCTCCACCTTTGAGGAGGGAAATCACCACAAAGGACATAACTGTTCACACTTAAACTATATCAATGTTTAAATGTCCTGAATGTGATTAATACATAAAAAGTATGACTTTTGTCAGCAAACATTCTTAGGAGATCTACGCTGGCAAATTCAGAGCCAAGAGTAATGGCATTTGTAACTTATTCCCAGACAGTTCAACAAAACTGTCTATATACAGACTAAGCTTAAAAAAATACAGTAAGATGTTAACTTGTAAATCCTGGTGAGAGCACAGGAATTCACTGCAATTTTTCTGTAAGTTTGAGACTTAATTCCCATAATAAACTTAAAAACAAAAAGGTTATTCTTACCACAGACTTGGTATCCATGCTATGAGCTAATTTGCAGTGCTCCACAAGTCCTTCCTGGTCAAAGTTCTTCTCAGGACAGTAAGGACAAGGAAAGGTATAGCGGTTTGGAACATTCCTGGAGATGAAAGGCAGGAAATCAGGGAAAAACCTCTCTGTGAGCATCTTCCCTGGCAACTTCAATCACTGCACACTCCAAAAAGGAGCGATGTCCACCCCATGAGCTGTAACAGGGACCTGAACATCACTTCAGAACCAGGCCGAGTGTTTGGAAAGTACCAACAGCCCAGCTAACATTTGAAGTGAATGCCAGAGAATCCTCCCCTGCATCTGCTCCCCCAAAACCCTGCAAACAGCTTTAGCCAACACAGCAATCACACTTCCACTTTCCCAAGCTCACGTGACTACACGCTTGAGCACCTGACATCTCTGTAGCATAAGAGAACCTCCATGTGAAGGGGCAGCTATGTCACTTACCTTGCCTGAAGGGATGCATCTTTAGTGGTAGCCTTCACACCTTCCATGATGTAATTCTGATATTTGGAACAGGTAGCCACATGGGCCCGGATCTTGGATAGAAAAAACTTGAATAGGAAGAATCAGAGCCCAGAAGTTAGTGAGGATCTTATACCAGGCCAAACACAATCCCAAAGCAAAGACGAGACATGAATTAGCCCTATACCACCCTGGCAAACCACCTCGCCCAACTCTGCCTATGCCAACGGGGCTGGATACTAGACTACTACGGATTTTCCATTAATACCAAGGCTGTCTTACTTAACCACATCAGGACGTCCGCCTCTACTCTAAAGGACTGGAAGCCGATGTCCTGCTGGATCTGCTTTATCCATGATATGCTCTCTGCTCATAGTCATGTTTCAAATCATGGCTTAACACTTACTACATTAGCACTTAAACTAGTCTCCTTACAGCAAGCCAACGACCACATTCCCGTCCAATGAAAAATGATCATTTACGGGACCAGCAGTTAGCAGAATGGCTATGTCACTAGACTCCCATGTGGTCAACCAGGTCCGAGTCCTGAACCTGGTGGCTTAAACTCACACCGGGCGCGTGTTTATGTGTGCCCAAGATCCTGAGAAGAATGGAGAAGGGATTGTGGCGTGGCCATCCCCCCCGGGGGGTGATTTCTCGCTTTCTATCTCTATGTCTTTCTGGCGAGCACACGTGCCCTGTAGGAAAGCTCTCTCAAAAAAAACATAAAATAAAATAATCATTTAAATAAAAGGAATAAAGACTAGTAACCCTGATTAAAGTATCAATCTCCAGACTACAACAAATAATAAAAACTGCAACCTGGGGACTAGCAGATGGCATGGTTATGTTGCTGAACTCTTATGTTGTCAACTGCGGTTCGAATTCTGGACCTAGTGGCTTAAAACTCATGCTGGGCTGGGGCCAGCAGGTGGCTTAGTGGTTAAGGTACTGGAATTCCCACATGGTCAACTGCAGTTCGAGTCCCAGATCTGCTGGCTTGCTTTCTCTCTCTCCCTGTCTTTCTCTGGCAAAACTCATGTGAAAAAAAATAAGTAATTCTTAAAAAAAAAAAAATATTAAAACCTCATGCTGGGCACATGTATGTGCATGCCCAAAATCCCCAGAGGAGAATGGAGAAGGGACTGCAGCGTGGCCAACCTCCTCCCCCCACCTACTTTCTATCTCTGTCTCTCCGGTGAGTGCATATGCCCTGTAGCAAAAATCTCCTAAACAAAACAAATAACTGAAATCTGACTCCTACTTTTCATGTAAAAGTGAGGTTGTGTAAGATGGAAAGAGAAGAAAAAGTGTTTCATCACAGTTTTCTAAAAAGAAAAAGGACTACAGACGGAAGGTATGGGGAAGAAAACCATTTTTGGGCGTATGCTCATTAATCAATCTCTAAAATCTGGGGAAACAAAAATCAATCGCTAATCTTTAAAATGGAGAAAACTGGGGACCAGCAGTTAGCGTAATGGGTATGTCGCTGGACTCCCATGTAGTCGACTGTGGTTCGAGTCCCGGACCTGGAGGCTTAAACTCACGCCAGGCGCATGTGCGTGCGTGCCCAAGATCCCAAGAGGAGAATAGAGGAGAAGGGATTGCAGCATGGCCCTCCCCCCGGGGAGAGATTTCTCGCTTTCTGTCTCTGTCTTTCTGGGGTAACTGAAACCTCTCCAAAAAAAAAAAAAAAAGAGAAAACTGAAAGCATACAGGAGAAGCAAAAGCCAACTTCATGCATATATAAAGAAGAAGGTAGCAGGAAATAAGAGTTTAATATCTTAAGTCTCTAAACTAAAGAGATTACGAGAACGAGACCAGCAGTTGGAGTAATGGCTACGTCGCTGGACTCCCATGTAGTCGACTGCAGTTAGAGTACCAGACCCGGTGACTTAAACTCATGCCGGCACGTACGTACGTGTGTGTGTGTGTGTGTGCCCAAGATTCCAAGAGGAGAATGGAGGAGAAGGTATTGTGGTGTGGCCATCCCCTCGGGGGGTTATTTCTCACTTTCTGTCTCTGTCTTTCTGGCGAGCACACGTGCCCTATAGCAAAAGCCTCAAAAAAAAAAAAAAAACCAAGAAAAAAGCTTTAATATTTGCACTCCAGCTTACTATGGCTGTCTCATCTCTAGCTAGAGAATGCTTAGACTTTTAAAAAAAAACCTTATTTATTCATCCATTTAAAAAAAAATTAGATCAGAGGAAGAAACACAGAGATAGAGAAGAAATGAGATAGCAAGCCACCAGGTCCAGGACTCAAACTGTGGTCAGCCATGTGGGAGAGAGTGCCCAGCACCTTAACCACCATGCTACCTACTGGTCCCCCACTTGGACTTTAAACTGCCAACCAAAGAGCCTCCACTTAAAAGGGAAGGGCAGAAGCCCTATCCAGAACTGTAACAGCCCCCGTGCTTCCCTAACACTGAGTCACTCTGAAAGGCCGAGAATGTAAGGTATGCATACTATGGTATCCACCATGAGGTGTTAATAATGGTGAAACCAGCCAGCAGGTGGCACTGTGGCTAAGGCGCTAAATCCCACATGGATTCCTTGGGTTTGAGTACCTGGACCTGGAGCCTTGAAATTCATGCTTGGGGGAGACCAGCAGGCGGCATGGTGGTTAAGGAGCTGGACACCTCCACATAAATGACCACAGTTCAAGTCCAAGACCTGGTGGCTTGCTTTCTCACTTTTCCTCTCTGTGTCTCTTTCTGGTCAAATTAAAATGAATGAATAAAATTATTTTTAAAAAAAGAAAAAGAAGGGACCAGCAGTTAGTGTAATGGCTATGTCGCTGGACTCCCAAGTAGTCGACCGCGGTTTGAGTCCCAGACCTAGTGGCTTAAACTCACGCTGGGAGCATGTGCTTGTGTGCCCAAGATCCCAAGAGGAGAATGGAGGAGAAGGGATTGCAGCAAGGCCATCCCCCTGGGGGGTGATTTCTTGCTTTCTGTCTCTCTCTGGAGAGGCCACGCGCCCCATAGCAAAAACCTCTCAAAAAAAAAAAAAAAAAAGAAGAAAAAGAAAAGAATACATGCTGTACACATGTGTATGCATGCCCCAAATCCTGAGAGGAGAGCAGAAGACAAGTAACTGCAGCAAAGCTATCCCCTGGGGCAGTGGGGGTGGGGAGATTTCTCTCTCTTGCTCTCCAGCAAGTGCATGTGCCCTATAGCCCCAAAAATAAAAACCTTAAGAAGGTAAAACTGATACGTAGACTGTTCAGTAAGCCATGAAGTGAAAAACAGTTGTAGAAATATACAATATATAATTCCATTTTATACAAATCCTGTATCTGTATTTGTAAAAGCTATGTGTGTTTGTCAAGGGGTGGAAAATGCTGGGCAGGAACCAACAAGTGGTGTAGTGGTTAAGGTGCTAGACTCCCACATGGTCAGCCACGGTTTGAGTCCCAGACCCACTGGTTTGAGACTTGCTGGGCACATGTGCGTGTGTGCCCAAAATCCCAAGAGGAGACTGGAGGACAAGGGACTGCAGAGTAGTCATCCCCCTGAGGGGGATTTATCACTTTCTCTATGTCTGCCATCTACCTCTTCTACAAGAGAACACACCCTAGAGCAAAAATCTCTCCAAAAAAGGGAAGAAAATGCCGACTTCTAAAATTAAATCACTTTTGAAGTGGTGGTCGTCTCTAGAGTGAGAAACAGGCCTATGTTATTTCATGTCTGGAATTAATAAAGTAACAATGATTTTTTTAAGACTTATCTTTTTTGTATTATTATTTTTAAATTTGACTAGAGATAGACAGAAAAAAGGAAAGTGAGGAGGCGAGCCACTGGGACTCAAACTGCAGTTGGGTGTGTACGAGTCCAGCACCTTCACAACCACACCATCTGCTGGCCCCAACAGTAATGATTTTTAAAAACCAGGGGATGGTCACGTAGCACAATGCTTAAGTACTGTGCAGTGGAGGCTGGATTCCACATGGTCAATCAGGATTCAAATCCCAGACCTGGTGGTTTACACATTAGATGAGGCATTTGTGTGCCTAGGATTCTCATGGGATAGACAACCGGAGGGAAAAAGTATTGCAGCATTATCAGGCCTTGCTGGGAGGTGTCTCCAAATGCTCTTCACACAGACACATGCCTACTACAGTAAAATAAATCAATATTGCTGTATACGTTTCTTGGAAAATAAGACAGCATTTCTCTTTTCCAGTGGCAGTTAAAACAAATGTAAAAATATACTTGACTCTAATATGATTATACAAAGCAGCATGGATGTATCACTGTTACAATCAAATGATTCCATATTGACCTTTATATAACGATGCCCTCCTGCCAAGTATGAAAAGTAGAATCATTAAATTTTGTATCTCTAATGATATAGATTATAAAATTTTCCCTCAAACTCACTGTTGCAGATAACTTGAGTCACTGATTTCATTCCGCATTTTGAAATATAAAATATTGGAACAGCAGATGGCTTGGAGGTTAAAGAGTTGGATCCCACATGGCCAGCTGTTTGATTCAAGTCCCAGACCCTGTGGCTTGAAAATCATACCATGTGTGTTCAAAATCCCAAGAGGAGACTGGAGGAGAAGGAATTGCATGGCTATCCCCCATAGGGGGTGATTTCTCACCTCTTCTCTCTCTGGTAAGCCATGCACCCTATAGAAAAAACTTTTTAAAAAAATCATTATTATATTCTAATTAAAATTATATAATGCTTTGGAAAAAACAGGTATTCTATACAAAAAACTGGGATAAGTGATTTCTATGGTTTTTAATGCTAAAATATGGATTATACTAAACCAACTACAAGAAAGTGAACAAAACTGGTAAGGTTATGAAAACAAACCAGCACAGCCATTGCCACAGATAACTGGCATGCACACGTGCTATTAAGTCACCTAGCAAGCTCTAGCTTCAGAAATGAAGTGGCAACAGTTCTACATTTACCCATCTCATCATGGGAAGACACTGACTAGTCCATGTTACTTCCACATACATTCTTACGGCAGCCATGGCAAGAAGTCTCTGTGCTCTCAATCTGCCGCTCGAGCTCCGCAGCTCGGACGCCAGGTGCCAGAGCGCTGCGACACACCCCACAGACAGGTTTCTTCGGCTTCAGACATTCCTGCAGGCATGCAGAGCAAAAGCTAGAACAAGACATACAGAGAACTGTCATGCATCATGGAGACAAGACGACAAATATGACTCTACTTTTTAAAAGACAGCAATGGATAATGATTAAAAAACTAACATTTCAAATACTAAGTCCTTCTAGGCCAGAAAAATTGGGGGGAGGCAGTTGTTTGGGGGAAGACTATGAAGGACACATAGGTTTAGCAACAGAAACAAATGCAAAATACCCTGCTATATGGTTGAGGCATCAAACCTTAGCCACTGGGGCCAGGAGGTAGTGTGGTGGTAAAGGGCACTGGATTCCCACATAGCTGACAGCAGTTTGAGTCCTGGACCTGGACGCTTGCTTTCTCACTTTCCCTTTCTCTCTCTCTCTCGCTCTGTCCCTCTCTAGTCAAACTAAAATAAATAAATAAAGTTAAATAATTATTAAAAAAAAAAAAGAAACGAAACCCTAGCCACTGCTGCTGAGGGATCTTGGTGGTGTTTCCTGAGCCTGTTTTCTCCTCTGTGAAATAAAGACAGGATTACCTACCTCTAGGGTTGTTGGGAGAATGGAGTAGGTACGTGTCTAGCACATGCGAAATACACAAGGGCTATCACCAGCTGTCGTCAGAGGTGAAAGCAATGCTATGGGAACAGAGAGAGAGCAACTGGTGGTGCCTGGGAACAAGACTACTAAGATTCAGAAACAGCATCCATGATCAACCTTAAAAGACTTCGGCTAGGGGCCGGCAGGTGGTGTGGTTAAGGGCGCTGGACTCCCATGTGGTCAACTGCAGTTTGAGTCCCAAACCTAGCAGCTTTCTCTCTCCCTCTCCCTCCCTCCCTCTGTGGTCAAATTAAAATAAATGAATGAATAAAAAAAAAAAAATAAAAAAAAAAAAAAAAAAAAAAAAAGAGCCCTTCAGCTGGCAGAGGAAAGGAAGCCTATCCCAGGCCTTCAGTTCACAACTGAGGGACCAACAGATGGTGTAATGGTTGTATCACTGGACTTCCACGCTGCTGACCACGGTAAACTCACACCAGGCACGTATGTGTGTGCCCCAAATCCCAGGAGAATGAAGGAAAAGTGATTATGGCATGGCCAGCCCCCCTAGGTGGTAATGTCTCTCTTTCTGTCTCTCCAGCAAGAGCATACACCCTATAGCAAAAATCTCTCTCTTGAGGGTGACAGGTGGCATGGTGGTTAAAGGCACTGGATTCCTACATGGCCCTTTACAGTTCGAGACCTGGTGGCCTCCTTTCTTGCTTTCCCTTTCTGTCTCTCTCTGGTTCAATTAAAAAACAACAACAACAAATGGCATTAAATACATAAATATTTTTTAAAAACTCTCTCTCAAAAAAAATGATTGACTTATGAAGTACAAATCAGACAGGCTTTTCTCCGTCAGCAGAAGGGAACTGAACAAAGGTTAAAGAAGGAAGTAGCAAGACCAAACCCAAGTTTAAGAAGACGAACCCTGGTCCTATCACGGACAATTTTCTGGTTTGTTTCTGTTTGTATGTTTGTTTACATGAGGAGAGATGAGAAGAAAAAGTAGAAATCAAGGGTCTGTGAAGGCCCAAAAGGCAATAAAGAATGAATTCAGGAAATACTTCAGAGGCAGAATCAGTAGGGCTTAGTAACTCACTGAATTTGGAGGAAAAAAAAAAGTCCTAGATGACCAAGTTTCTACCGAAAGCCTAGGCAGGTGGTGCTCTCAAGGTAAGGAATATAAAAAGGATGGGAAGGGCTACATGGAAGCACCCTGGCTTACTTGCCCAACCTGACAGGCTTACGGCAGGGTAACGAAACCTGCCAGAAGAATCGGGACATATAACCTAAGGTATGTGTCTGCACACTTGACAATTCCTTACTGTCCTTAAGAATCTCCCTCCTGTGTGTCATTAAGCTAGATGTTAGTGCTGCCATAGCATTTTTTTTTTTTTGAGAGAGAGAGACTTTTTTTTTTTTATAGGACGCATGCACTCGCCAGAGACAGAAAGAGAGAAATCACCCCCCAAGAGGGATGACAATGTGGCAATCCCTTCTCCTCCAATCTCTTCTCAGGCTTTTGGGCACGCACACACACGTTCCTGGCGTTGAGATTTAAGCCACTGGGTCCAGGATTCAAACTGTGGTCAACTACATGGGAGTCCAGTGACATAACCATTACACCATCTACTGGCCCGCATGCTCTAAAGCTGCTAGCAATTTCTGACCAGGTTGAGGGAAGGTGAGAGGTCTGGCCTTTCACCACCAATGGCAGAGGGGGAACCAGACAAAGCCCCCCCCTCTCCTCATGATGCTTATATTCTAGAACAGAAAAAATACAACTGTTAATTTCAGATAGTGATCAAGTACCTGAAGGAAATGAAACAAGGCAAAGAGATCACCTGATCACAGAAAGAACCTTTGAGGAGGTGACATGAGCTGAAGCTAGATTACAAGGACAGACACAAAGCTCTGACACTAAATTCAAAGGAGTGCCCCAAAGGCAGAGAGGAAGGCCTTTGGGGCCATGAGGTGACAAATAATGGAGAAGGACATGTGATGAGGCAGGTCACAAGAGCAACCAGAGGGGACACAGGGCATCTCAGAGACTATATAGACAGACAAAATGCAGATAAATTCCTTAGTCCCCTGTCAAATGCCCAATGAGGGACAGTCCACCTATCAAACGTACTGTGCTTGAGTTGTGCCCAACAAGCCTGCTCTTAAACTGCTCGGCTTGGGCTGGCTTTCAGTTTCCATTTCCCACTGTGGGCCTTTTTCTAGTTCGGCCTTCTGGATGCCCCACCCTTTCTGCCATGGTACTATGTAGAAATCCCCTTCTCTTTGGGACCCAGCCACCGGCCCTCCACAGCTGTTTCCACGAGACTGGAGGAGTTTGCAATCATTCAGGGCTTTCAAAGTTTTATAAAACCCAATAACCCACCCGGAGCTGCAGTGATACTCAAGTTTCTAAGCACAAGAGCTATAAATCAACTGACCAGGGCAGAAAGCATTGGCCGATCTGAGGGAGACTCCTGCTGCTCACACAGAGGTGCTCCCATCTGTCTCCAATCAGCATTAAACTGCTGAACACGTGGAGCTAGCCAGTGAGTACAGGAAGAGCCCAGGTGTGAATCCTAGTCCTGCCTCTCATCCTAGGAGAGGTTCATTTTGCTCAAGGAAACTTCAAATTTTGTGCTGGGTCAAGCCTTTTTCACAAATGATTACAGTAAATGAAGGCCACCAAATTATCCCCAAATTAGGTAAACTTGATATAAGGACAAAAGGATGCAATGAGAACACTATTGAGATTCCACTTCAACTCTCACTAAGCGTGCTTTCATCACTAATTCCTTAGTTCACCCAACCAATTACCTGACTACCTGCCTATCTACACAGAGGTTTGATTCCCAGAATAATCTAACACTGCACAATGACTTTTCACAATATTACAAACATTATTTATAATCAATTCACTGAACTGCAAACTTTGAGTTTTTGCTATAGGACACATGCACCTGTCCCAGACAGAGAGAGAGGGA